GCGCGCCTCAGCGGAGATGGAGATGTTTTTAGCCGACACTAATTTAGAAAACAATAGTTTATTAATAAAATTAAAATGCCTCGTTATTCTTTCAGACACATTTATTATCATTAGCCTATAACTCACCTAAATCACCTTTCTGTAGGCTGGTTCCAGAGACATAGGCCTAAATATGGCTCTTCTCATTCAGCACTGCGGGAAAAATATAATTTTCAGGTTCTAATTTGGCCTTAGAAAACCATTAAAATCTAAAAAAAAATTGTATTAAGTTGGGAATATTTTAAATGTTTAGTAAAGGGGCAAAAAGTCATAAACAAACATCTGAAATTTAGTCGATTTTTTTTTTTTTTTCGCAGCATTTGTGTAGTACAGTTTAAATTTAAAAAAAAAAATTGGTGTTCAACTTTGCATTTAAAAAACAACAACCACCGTTCATTTTTCGTTTTGCAATACGGGTTAAATAAGGAAAAACGAATGGACACAAATGTACACTGACCGTTTGGACAGAGTTCTTTATTAAATTCATAAAAGAAACAATAGGCTACAGGAATACTGGATTCTAAACCTCAAAGAAATGCCACAATCAGACCTCGGAGCAGAAATGAGGGAGAAACACCCAGAAACTCCTTATGCCGTTCGCAGTATACGGGTCTTTCCCTGCCATTAATGCTTGGATAACACACCACGTCTCCTTCTATTAATAATAATGTCTAGTGTGGTGGTGCGGTGGCTGTGATATAGGGATATAGGCTATAAACCTACCCGTTGATGTTTAAATGACTTATCGCGAGAGGGGAAAAAGTCGCATAACATCAGTTAATGGAAACGCCGTCATTTCGCAATAGTTTTTTATCGACATTTAGAAAAAATCGCAAAAGTTTTGCGCAAATCTGTAATGGAAACGCGCCTATTGTTGATCATCTGTCCATCATCGTATAAAGCCCGCCCTCACAATTTGATTGTACGGTGGCCGAGACAGCTCAACGCGCTGCAACTGAAGCAAACACATGCAAATAGAGAAAAACGTGTGCAAATAGAAAAAAACGCATGCAAATAGAAAAAAACACATGCAAATAGAAAAACACGCGTGCAAATAGAAAAAAACACCAGCAAATTAAAAAAAACATCTTCATCAGTTTCACAACACACGTGTGCTCCAAATAAGGAAACGCGCTGCAAAAGTTCACAACACAACCAAATACAGAAATATCAGAGAGGGAGAAGATTTGGAATATTTTTGAAATACGCCAAATTTTGGATCTTCATGAAGAATAAATACATAAATATTTTGTAATATTAAATGTTTTAATAATTTAGTGCCTATATATTTGACTGTTTTGCAGGACAGCGTTTTGATCTGTGAAGTCCATGAAGTGCTTGCTGCTAAAATGAATACATGATCACACACAATAATATAGATATGGTGATGTTCACAGATGTTAAAGAACTCACAGAAGCTAAACAAATCTCAGTTCATTGCAGAGCTCTCACCTCTCTTTTTCTCTGGAGACCAGTTTCCTGCTCATTCTTTTCTTTTTCAGAACTAATTTTTATTCACTTATTTTGTGTTTACTTCACATTTCAGATTTCTATGTAAAAAGGAATTCTGATTCATCATGTGGTGAACTGTTTTACCATCTGTATAAGTGTATCGATCATTCACTTGTCCAAGTCAAAATGTTACTTACCCTGGGGGGAAAGGATTTTTGGTGGTGTAAACAATTTATTCTGAAGCAAAATTTTAGTTGGTGAAATAGAACAAAGTCAATATTGAGTATCGCATATCGATGCTTCCCTAGTTATTTTTTTGTCACTGAAGTTTTAATCAAGCCACTTGTCCGGTCGGGCAAGTAAGATTCCCTTTCACTTGCCCCTTCAATAAATCCACTTGTCCCGGACAAGCCAAGTCAAACCCTGCTTAATGAAATAAACAGTTATAAATTGTAAAATACAGACATTCTGCTACAGTATGTTTTTTTACAGTGAATTTCTGGCTGCTACAGCTGCCATTTTTTACTGTAAATTTAACAGGATATATTTTTAAAGTGAGTTTTTTTCCTTGTTTTTTTCCCCCCTTACACTGTCTGAGTATTCTATAAAAGTTTGTGGTTGGTAAGACGTTTTTTATGTTTTTAAAAGATGTCTCTTATGCTCACCAAGGCTGCAATTATTTACTGAAACAAATTATAGCAAAACAGTAATACTGTAAATAGTATTACAATTTGAAATAATGGTTTTCTATTTGAATATATTTTAAAATGCTATTTAATCATGTGATGGCAAAGCTGAATTTTCAGCATCATTACTCCAGTCTTCTCCAGTGTCACATGATCCTTCAGAAATCATTCTAATATGCTGATTTGCTTTAAGAAATATTTGTTTTTTCCATCAATGTTGAAACAGTTGTGCGGCTTAATAATTTTGTGGATTTTTTTTTTCAGGATTCTTTAACAGAAAGTTAAAAAAGAACAACATTATTTGAAACAGAATTTGTAACAATGTAAAAGTTGTACTGTCACATTTGATCAATTTAATGTATTGACTCCTTAAAAATGACATTCTTAATGACACTTTGAACAGTCGTGTAGCATAACTCTTCGTGAAATATATTGTATAAACCATGTGAAATAAAGTGTTTACATTTATTAGAGAATGTTCTGCAAAGCACCACAAGGTGGTACAATCGAGTCAACAATTAGTCTCATTCAGAGACTTATAAAGAGAGGTGTCCTGTGGATGCATTGCAAATTGTCTGATTGTAATATCCTCGATTTAGATCATGTCTGTGTATATGTTTGCTTTTATTTTCACATCTTTTAATATTTCACTCCACTATACAGCAAGCTTAATGACACATGTGATTATCATTGCAGCATGTTGTTACTTGCTATTGTTGTAGGCTATAGGCTAATAATGTAAAAATAATATAGCCTATGTGACAAGACATTTACATATAAATGTACAAATATGAAGTGACAAATGCAGTCTGAACATACTACATAATTGAACTGGTGGGTTGAACTTGCAAGAAGTTCACTTTAAAAAGTCACTTTAGGCTAATCGGCCTAGTGGGCTAATTATTATTGAATGATGTATTCTATCGTTCCACTCGGTGCATTAACGATTTCCAGAGCAATGTCCAGTGGTTCTCAAACGATTCAGAGCAAGTAGCCTAGGCTACTAAAGTAGAGGCAACATCAAGCGATGTATGACGTCGGCTGCACGCGTTATTAGACGCACAAAGCTGTATTCAAAGTGCAACCAAACCATAAGAAATAAAACATGTTGGCATTAAAATTACATGTAGTATTTTCACATTACAGAACTGTATCTCGTAGCTCCCCCTATAGGCAGCCCGTGCGCGCTGATGGGACTCGAGTCGAGTTTATTCATAAGCGCGCTGCAGTCATGTCTGCATGTGCGGCATATTATATCAACATATTATATTATGTCAAGCCTGTCGGGGTCTGCAATTCATGTTAACAGGCAATTAATCAGCCGGTTTATTACAGCGCGCGGCGAGCACAGAAGTTGACTAAAGGCGACGCTGCTGTGCGATGCCATTCATCAACGAGTGACAGCAGCAACAAAGGCTCGAGCTGGAATGGAGCGAGATGTTTTTGAGATGTTTTTGATTAAACGCTTCCAAGGAGATGAACCAAACAAACGTTGCCATGAACGAGTGTGTTTGGTTACAAACACACAGAGGGCAGGGGGAGGCTGCCGGAGCCAGGTGCTGGGCCGGGCTGTTGTGTTTGTGTATGTGCCGGTTGCCTCGGCAACAGAGGGACCGGCGTCGGCGTCCTGCCTGTCCCTCTGACTTCAGACAAATGGACCGCCGTACACACGCTGATCTAATACGGAATATGACAGTAAACAGCGTTCAGCAAGGGGGGGGACGTTAGTTTTTTTTTTTTTTTTACCCCAACCACTGGGTTAAACATATGGGTCACTAGGTTGGGTTATCTTAAAATTTGTTGAGTCGTTTTTTGTTTTTTTACGTCGTTGAGTTATTTTTAGTTTATAACTCAGCAGTTGGACATCAGATTATGAAAGGTATTAGTAATATCGTTTTATGATATAAATATAACTCTTATAATAACATTAAATAACGTGAACTGAAACGTTAAATATATCCTAAAACGTTTTTGTATATACCTGCAGGTACTGAGAACTTAATTTTACCCCCGAATGCTGTGTCAGCAGGCAAAAAAAGGTTCCAGTATGATGGATTTATTTGACCAATGTAGCCTACAATAGCTTAATTTTAATTAAACATAATTTCATTAACAACTTCATGGGATTCCCAGTTCATGGACCCCTGGTTGAATTTTTTTTACACGATAACATGATGGATGTGTTTAAGCATGCTGTATGAATGTGAAACAATAATTTATCTCTTTATTTTGGAACTAGTAATGATGCATAATAGTAATTATTATATCGACACAATATTTTGTGTGTTGTCTGTTTCAGTCGTGTACATCGGCAGTACGGTTTTGCTCCAATAAAGTTTGTGTATTTTATTTGTTTTTTAGACCAAAGTACAAAAACAAAACTTAAAATAAAACACACCAAAAGATATTTAGTAATGGTTTATACAAAGGCAGTTTCCAGTTTCAGTAACACAGTAAGCTAACTAAAACAAAGATATGACACTGAATTTTTGGAAATAATTTTAGCAAACAACAGAAGGGTAATATAGCTAAAGTTGGTTCATCATTTCATTTAAAGATTGACATTTTAGCTTTACTGACTTTTGGCAATGAATAATGTTAGAATTTAGATGACTGCAGTTAAGTAAGAACATCAGCAGACCTTAGTCAGGTTAGACATACTGAATTTAATGCGGATGAAAACAAGGCTGTAAGGGATACGTACAGACTTTACAATGGCATGCACTGTAAAGGTTCTGGATCACGTCATTTTTTCACAACTCACAACTTTTAAAACTGTTTTTGTCTACTCCAAGTTTTTTTCCCCCGTAAAGATGTTTCATCAGCTGAACAATCGGTATGTTGTTAGACAACATTTAACTATTCTATCCCTCACAGCCTCATTTTCATTCCTATCCAAAATTAAATGTGGCACTACCTAAGGTCTATACATATGTTAGAAGAAATAAATCTCTTAAAAAGGTTATTGTGTTCACTTATCACTCTCTAAAGAATAGTGATGTTCAGATGCACATTTCTCATAGCTATTAAACAGCAACATTAAAACAAACAAGTGTATTACTTATCTGTTTCCCTTCAACAGAGCCTACTTCTTTATAGAGTCTTTATACTTGTTCTTTGAGATTTTCACCTGAAATCCTATTCCCCTCTTACCCTTCTGTCAACTTTCTAACGAAAACTGACTGTAATACTATGTTCTTTATCCTTAAAGACGAACATTTACAACACTTCCTTTGTTACACTGCACAGTGGCTGTGTGATTTTACAGGTCAAAGTTCAAGTTTGGCTTTGGTCCAGATAAGTGCTGATGAAGATGGAGCTCAGAGCTTAGAACATGTTGACATGGAGACAGTGGGGCCTTACTTGGCCTTTGTCTTCTCCTCGTAACTCCCGGCGTTCTTGTAGGCCCCTACGTAGCCTGTGTGCTCCACAATCTCCTCCCGCCCACCTTTTCCTTTGCCTTTCCCACTCTGATCAAAGCGCTCCTTGTGTGAGCCCGTATATTTAGATGTGTCGGTTAACCTATCCACTGTAGCAGTTTTTGCCACTTTCTAGAATGGTTAAAAAAAGAAACATACAAATGTATAAGGAAATGAGAGCGAGCAAGAGCGAAAGAGAGAGAGAGAGAGAGAGAGAGAGAGAGAGAGAGAGAGAGAGAGAGAGAGAGAGAGAGAGAGAGAGAGAGAGAGAGAGAGAGAGAGAGAGAGAGAGAGAGAGAGAGAGAGAGAGGCCTGTTTAAAAGCAATAACAGTAATAAATGGAAAATCAATTTTAAAAAAGAAACTAGAAATTACCCATAAAATGTGCTTCATCAAGCTAGCATTGTTGTTTCTTCAGATGATCTGTACCAATCTGTTTCAGCCTGCCCCCGCAGAACCTTTTCAGTCAATAGCATATATGCAACTCACATATTCCTGCAACTCCTTTTGAACTTCTAACTTGCCAGAATTGATTTATTGCTGTTTGATTTGTTACTGCCCTCTAGTGTTGAACCGTCTGAGGAATGATGTGGCAGTACCTTTTTTGTGTTTCTCAATCTTGCTCTTGGAGGCCCACCAACACTACTCATTTTAGATGTCTCACTAATTTGACACCCAGTTGAGTTCATGGGGCGCTCTACAAATGAGATGATGAGTTGAATTATGTGTTATACAGGAGACATTCAAAATGTGCAGTATTGAGGGACCTTCTTGAGCAACAACTGCTTGGCATTTCTTGGTTTATCTAACATTTATAAATTTCAGGTAATATACTCACACATTTCTGTCACAACAAAGTTGATGTAGCCTAATAACTAGTTGAATTAAAATCGATTTGCAGTGTGATGAAATGGAAAACCAATAACTGTTGTTTCTTTGGTAACGCTTCCTTTTACAGTCCTGTTACCCATGTACTTATGTACTTATTATAGTAATTACAATTACTGGGTAATAACTAGGCACTAACCCTGAACCTACCCCTAAACCTACCCCAACCCATGTACTTACCTTATATTAGCCAGTACTTTCTAGGTAAGTACACTGTAAGTACACGTAAGTACTGTACTGTAAAAGGAAGCGTTACCGTTTCTTTCTTGCTTTTTTTATTGTTTTTATCATTCAAAAGTTTGGGGTCTGTAAGATTTTTGGACAAAAAATGTCTGCATTTATTTGATAAAAACAATAATATTGTGAAATATTATTACAATATAAATTAACTTTTTATTTGAATATATTATGTTAAAATGTAATTTATTCCTGTGATGGCAATGCTGAATGTTAAGCAGCTCAAGTCTTCAGTGTCACATGATCCTTCAAAAATGATTGTAATATGCCGATTTGCTCCTCAAGAAACATTTCTTATTATAAGCAATGTTGAAAACAGTTGTCCTGCTTAACATTTTTTGGAAACCCTGATAAATTTTTCCAGGATCCTTTGACGAATAGAAAGAACATTTATTCGAATTAGAAATCTGTAACATTTAACTGTCACTTTTGATCAATTTAATGTGTCCTTGCTGAATAAAAGTATGAATTTCTTTAAAAAAAACTAAAAAAAAAAAAACTATCAATGGTTGTGTATAACATGTATTGAATTGACAACATTGATTTTGATGCCGTCTTACAGTTTGTACTCAAGTGTAGTCACGCTAATTTATGTCAACATTAATTTCCAAGTTTTCATACAAAAATACCTTAAATAAATACTTGTTTTTAAATGGTTGCCTTACCGTTACACCAACGTTGGTAGGATCTTTGCCTTCAATTAGCTGATATATAGACTGCAATGCCTCCTCTTTGCTTTGACCTTTGAACCTCTTTGGGGCCAATTCTTCTAGAGCTTTCTGGAACTCCTCATATGTAATAACCCGAGATGTCTTTGCTCTGAATCATATGGTAAACATATTGCCTTTTCAATATTTATATTGCCTGGACAGTGCAGTTTTTGAAAACTTAATCTCTGAAGATATTTTTAATATTTACAATGTGTTTATATTGTGTGCACATTAAAAATATATATTACAATTTGTTAAAATTTAAATAGTCTCCAGAACAAAAAATTATGAAAAACTCACTTGAGTTTAGTGAAGACAATATCTACATCGGTGCTGGTGACATTCTTGCCATCAGTGACTTTGCAGTCTTTGCACAGCTTTGCCCAGTTTTTCCCATTCAACTCCTTCCCAGTGGCTTTGGTGTCACCATGAACAGCAAACTTCTTAAAGGAGCTCAGAAGCTGGTCCATGTCTGTGCTTTCTGCCATATTTGGTATTCTGCTAAACAAATAGTAGGACTATGACCTAATGGAACAATTTCTCTAGAAAAAGAGGTGTTTTAACTAACCGTATAAGTAATCTGCAATAGGCATGATAAACAGACATTGCTGAAGCCTTAATTTGACAAAAAAGATGAAAGAGAAGCCAGATTAATGTGGTACACTAAACATAATTATTGCACTGTATTATAATCTTCAGAATCTCAGATGTGTATTATACAGTATACTATGTACTAATAACGTCTAGTCTCGGTCTGTACAGATGAGGTTGAGCCCAGACAATAAAATACCTTAAACTCAGATTTAGCCTTTCTAAATGATCCAAGTTATCTGCATTATCTAAATTGTCCTGTCATTTTAGCTTTGAGATATTTTACTTTTACATTTACAAATGTACTTTTTACATTTACAAATGTACTTTTTACATTTACAAATGTACTTTTAAATTTACATTTTAGCTTTGAGATAACGGTCTTCTTGTTGCAGAGTTTTGGCAAACTTCTTCAGCAGGTCACCCTCTTTTCCATTGCGTTTTGAATGACCTGAATTAATAAAATACCAATTAAAGCACTAGCCAAAAGTAACACATTAGGTGTATGTGGAACGATAGAGCCTGATGTAACATTTAAAGGGATACTCCACTTTTTTTGGAAATAGGCTCATTTTACAACTCCCCCAGAGTTAAACTGTTGAGTTTTTACCGTTTTTGAATCCATTCAGCCGATCTCCGGTTCTGGCGGTACCACTTTTAGCATAGCTTAGCATACATCATTGGAGTGGACATGACCATTAGCATTTCTAAAAAAAAAAATGACCAAAGAGTTTCGATATTTTTCCTATTTAAAACTTGACTCTTCTGTAGTTACATCGTGCACTAAGACCGACGGGAAATGTAAAGTTGCGATTTTCTAGGCTGATATGGCTAGGAACTATACTCTCATTCCTGCGTAATAATCAAGAAACTTCACTGCCGTACCATGGGTGCAGCAGGCGTAATGATATGACGCAGCGCCTGAAAATAGGCCACCTTCCGTCAACACAACGGAACTATTTTCAGGCGCTGCGTCATATCATTACGCCTGCAGCTGCTCTCATGGTACGGCAGTGAAGTTTCTTGATTATTACGCAGGAATGAGAGTATAGTTCCTAGCCATATCAGCCTAGAAAATCGCAACTTTACATGTTCCGTCGGTCTTAGTGCACGATGTAACTACAGAAGAGTCAAGTTTTAAATAGGACAAATATCAAAACTCTTTGGTCATTTTTTTTTTAGAAATGCTAATGGTCTTGTCCACTTCAATGATGTATGCTAAGCTATGCTAAAAGTGGTACCGCCAGAACCGGAGATCGGCTGAATGGATTCAAAAACGGTAAAACTCAACAGTTTAACTCTGGGGGAGTTGTAAAATGAGCCTATTTCCAAAAAAAGTGGAGTATCCCTTTAAGGGCCATAAGGATTGAGCTAATGAGGTGATTATCAACACTCGGTAGACTGCTAATTTTTCATTCAACACAAATATCATGGATGTTAGATTTTCCTATACATTTTCAGATGGCCTCTTTTCTTCCCTCTTTCTTTCTTTCCTTCCTTCATAATTCTGTATTTTTCTATTTTCTTTCTTTCGAGTGCATGAGTGAGGCCGATTCCAGACTTTCTTGGTGTGTCTGCACAGCCCAGCCATTGTCAATGGAGGCGAGAGTAGGTGTGTGGATGGTCTGATGTGTCTTGGAGTTATTGTGGAATGTTTCAGATGGATGTCAGAAGTTTGGCAGCTGATGGCCTCATGGAGAGGCGATGAGTGTACAGCAGTGGTGGGTGGGCTTGCCCTGGCTTCAACTCCAACTCCTTCAGCCTTCTGTAATCTCCTCTCAGCTCACACACAATAACTTAAGTGTTACATAAAATAGTATCTTATATGCTCACCAAGGCTAGATTTATTAGGTCAAAAATACAGTCAAAACAGTAATATTGTATTAAAATATTATAATTTAAAATACGTTTTTTTTATATGGGTTAGTTCTCCCAAAAATTAAAATTCTGTCATTAATTACTCACCCTCTTGTCATTCCTAATTACTAACCCTCATGCTGTTCATCTTCGGCACACACGAAGATCTTTTTGATGAAATCTGAAAGCTTTCTGTACTCTCCATTGACAGGTCCACAACTACCACTTTGAAGCTTCAAAAAGTTCATAAAGAATTCATAAAAAACGTATCCATATGAATTGAACGGTTTAGACCTTTTTTTTTTTGAAGACACGATCACTTTATATGATGAACACATTTAATTTAGGCTTTTATTCACATTTAAAAATTGATCAGTGAACATAAACAGAAGCTCAACCGAACCTGCTGGATGCATAAGAACAAACCTCTTGCTGAAGCTCAAATGCGCTGCGTAACACGATAATGAATCTCATTATTTCCGCACTTCAATCAAACTTGCTTGAGCTTCCATTTATCATATAACTGATGTGTGAGTTGATGAATGTTTATATGTGAATACAAGCCTAAATTAAATCTGTTCATCATACTGTATATTGTGTCTCTCCAGAAAATTTGGACTAAACCGCTCAATTCATATGGATTAGTTTTACCATCTCTTTATGAATCTTTTGCTGAGTCAATGGAGGGACAGAAATCACTCAAATTTAATAAAAAAAAGATCTTCATTTGTGTTCCGAAGATAAACAAAAGTCTTACGGGTTTGGAACGACATGAGCGTGAGTAATTAATGACAGCATTTTTCATTTTTGGGTAAACTAACCCTTTAGTAGATTTTAAAATGTGATTTATTCCTGTGATGACAAAGCTGAATTTTCAGCAGCCATTACGTCTTATCACATGATCCAGCATATCCCAAATATGCTGATTTGGTAAGAAATATTTCTTATTGTTCTTAATGTTGAAAACAGTTATGATGCTTAATATATTTGGTGGGATAAAAATGTTCAGGATTCTTTGATGGATAGACAGTTTAATTAGAAATATTTGGTAATATTACAAATGGCTTTAGCCTACTGTCAATTTCGATCAATGTAATGTGTCCTTGCTGAATAAAAATATTAATTTATATCACAAAAAAATATTACTTACTTTTGAATAGTGGTGTTCATTAAATTTGTTATTTCAGTATTTGTTAAGGATAATTAACCCAAGATTGTTGCATAATGTTGTAATCATCACTGGTTTGGCAAACAATTATTCAGTCATTGAACCATCGAAGTCATCGCATTTTATATGTCGTCATGCTTGACATGTTGCACGTGTGTGCTGCGTATTTCCCTAATACAGTGTGTGAGGGATCATGTGCAAGCTGCTACTGAGGTTATTCCCACACAGCCGTCTGAATAAAGACATCATTGTATGAGCCTCACCCTTCTAACACACATGCAAAGGCAGCCGTCCACATAAACACACATTGCCCTCCTCCCAAGAGATCCTCACACAGGACAAGACTTTGTGGAAGTGTCTATGGAAAATTACCATTGTATTAAAGAGGGAAACAGAGACACTTACCCACCCATCCAGACAAAACACACACACATACAGTAGACTCATCAAAATAACAAAGGCATGTCCTGAAGACTTTCTGATTAGATCTCAACCTTTCTCTGCTTCAGCCCTAGGGTTTTGCAGCTAATCCTTCTTTGTGGTCCTGCCTGCAAGATACCTGTTTTCCCCACACAACATTTTTTTCACACTTATTCTGTATTTCATACTGACATATAATAGATATAATATGTGATACTCACTTCATAAACCAGCTAATATATCTGAATTTAACTGACAACTTAATGAGTGTTTACTTTTTGATCAGACAGACATCAACCCTATAATTAACCTGATGATGTCAACAGTGTTTTGTTCAACAATTATATGAATAGCATCAGTTTGTGCCAATTTGCCACCGGGAACACTTCATGCAGTATATACAGCCTATATATAATTGCAATCTAAATAATATTAGTCAGTGACAATTGCAATAAATCTTGAAAAAATGTATTCATATACTTAAAACAGTTTATTTATTGCAATTACATTTTTTTATTTTCTGTCCATTTCACTTGTGTGTTATATATTTATATCTATGTAGAAGGAGAAAAAATAGCAACATTTAAAAAAAATTCATCATAGCAACGAATGCAATTGTTGCAACTTCAAATGTAGGCTATGTATATTTGTTCAGGGGTAAAAAATAAATAAAACAATTCTTGAAATACCACCACTTTGTTTTTGTTATGTCAATTTAGTCACTGAATTCACACTCCACATGGAGCAATACCCATTATGCAGCATGCCATTAACAGTTTCAATATGTAAACCACAGATGCTGTGTACCAATGCATGGAATATTATGGGTCTGTATGGTGTTATGAGTGCAAGCATATAGCGAATAAGATGAGTGCATGTTCTGTATGCATGTTCACATGTGTGGAGTGCATTTGCTTATGAAGAGCGTTCTATCACATTAGTAGCAGTGAAATCACTCTTACCTGTGCTACTGACTTCCAGCTGCTGGCAATCCACACACATGCACACACACTCCCAGGTCTGCACAACTTCTGTCCTCTCTCTCTCTCTTTCTCTGTCTGTCATGTTACTCCCTTCTGAAATGGGCTTTAAAAGGCTGAGGGCTTGTTATCATCTGTTTATTCCTGTATCCATGGAGACGTCCTGTTTAGCATCAAGGGATGGCTATAAAAGAGAGAGAGAGAGAGAGAGAGAGAGAGAGAGAGAGAGAGAGAGAGTGTGTGTGTGTGTGTGTGTGTGTGTGTGTGTGTGTGTGTGTGTGTGTGTGAAATAGAGAGAGACAGACAGAGAGAGAGAGAGGGAGAGAGAGAAAGAGAGCCTACTCAAGTTGTAGTGACCATGGGTCATTTATCAGTCGGGGTGAACTGGAAGCTTGAGCATGGCAACATAGAGAAACCAGGAAGAGACTTAAGCATTTGTGTTTAATTTGTGGTTTGTGCTTATCCTCTGTTTTGCCGTGTTGTGTTTGTATGTAAATGCTACTCATTCAACAGTGTGAGTGTGAAAGAAGAGAGCGAGGAATGCGATTCATCCAGCACGATATGCATGTGTTAGTGTCCGTATATGTGAGAATGTTCATCCAATACTGCCTGTGTGTGTGTGTGTGTGTGTGTGTGTGTGTGTGTGTGTGTGTGTGTGTGTGTGTGTGTGTGTGTGTGTGTGTGTGTGTGTGTGTGTGTGTGTGTGTGTGTGTGTGTGTGTGTGTGTGTGTGTGTGTGTGTGTGTGTGTGTGTGTGTGTGTGTGTGTGTGTGTGTGTGTGTGTGTGTGTGTGGTCCTGGTAAACACTACGTTGTGGGAATAAAATGTCCAGAAAGTTTTCTGTGATGGGTAGGGTTATAGGGGGGATAGAATATAGAGTTTGTATGGTATAAAAATTACATCTATGGAATGTCCCCATATAACTTGAAAACCCAGTGTGTGTGTGTGTGTGTCCATATAGCTACACTTTGAAACCAGATTCATCCCCAGAAGTGCTCAAGCCAAATCTAACAAAACCTCTATTTGGGGACATTCAAAATCCTAATTTGTAAAACATATTTGAAAGAAGATAAAACTTTTAAAAGTTGCAATAAAATAGGTGCAGTGGCATATATTTTATCTTTTTTATTTATGTCTTTGACATATCTCAGTCTAAAATATTATTGAAAAAGAAAAAAAATACCGGGTGGGGACCCGGTTCCATCCATCAGCTATTTATTGGATGGAGGCATATTTGCAATGCTTGTAGTCAATTGTAAAAAGGACAAAATGTTGTAAGAGGACTTAATGATTGGAGAAATCTGGCATTTGTCACCAGAGGGAAGTCTGTTATTTCACCAGGGATGCACAGAATTTAAAAAAAAAAAATTACAGTAAGATCAATAACATGCATTTGGAAAATAGGTAGTTGCATTTCATTTCAAGCCTACTTTAACACAATGCTCTGGAATAATTTATTCTGACTAGTCAATTAGGAGGATTCATCATTCAAACATTTTAAAATAATCACCATTGTTCAGTTGGTCATCTAAGCCATGTGCTTATGTTTTGTCTTTAATTAAAAGCATAACAATTATTTCAGCTCAAATCTATATTTTATGTCCAAGTATTTATTTATTTAGGTAGCCACATAATAAGTGTAATAATGTACAATCAGATGGCCATTATTTCATAATAAACCCGCCAGAGTGATTTGAGACCCTGATCGGCCTGTTAGGATTAATTTACAATAACTGCCTCTACATTATCCCTTGTAGTTTCTCTCAGGTGCAGCTGAATCTCACAGAGGGCCATTCTGAAGATGGCCAGACAGCAGGTATTTTTTTTACTAATTTTGTCTGTCTCTCTCTCTCCCTGCTCTCCTCTTTCTGTCTTTTTTTCTCATTTGTCTGAAGAACAGGACATACAAAACCAGAATCACAATTCAGCAACAGCCTGGAGCCAAAGGTGTTACAGTGGAGCCTGATTTCACTGAGAAGTGTATTTTTAATTTTGTTATTTTAATATATATATATATATATATATATATATATATATATATATATATATATATATATATATATATATATATATATATATATATATATGATTTAAACTATTTTTGCCATTTGGAATCACTTTTTATGAGTGATACATAATGCATAACCAGAATATATTCGAGCCTTTAAAACAGTTTGTACCAGTACATTATGGTTGAACCATTGCTCAACATGCATGACAAATATTTGGAGCATGTAAAATTTCATGGCAATAACATATACAACATCAGTTTAAATGAACTGAATAACTCAGGCTCATATATACAGGAGTGTGATGGATAATTTGCCTTTCCAGTTCTAGTACACCAAACTGTTTGCCAAACGTTGACTTTAACTCCTTATACAAAGATCACTTTTGTTCATTTGCTGAATCATGGTGCGGAAAGATTTAGTTTCGCTCTATGATTTGCTTTACATTCAGATTTTTGCACAGAGAAGTTTGTTTAAACTGCTTCGCATTCATCTTTCCACAGCTGTGCATCTGTGCCACTGTGTTTTTGGAGCCCTGGCATTCTCATCGCTGCACACAGCTGCTTTTTTTACAATCATCTCAATAAATATGCTAGGTTTATTTATTTTAAAAATATATATATATTTATGTATAAAAAATATTTAAAAATATGATTTTTTTTTAATCATTTTGTTATAGTAATTTGTTTATTTTTGGTGGGTTTTTTCATCATGACAATCCGATTAGCATCCAAAGCTACACTCTAAAAAATATGGTTCTTTACACGTAGTAACAGCTCTATTTAGTACCGTATCGTCCCAAAGAACCCTTTATATGCTGAAATGGTTCTTTGTGTTAGAGTTTAGGTTTCTTTATTCCCGCCTTTTTTGATTTTTAAATCTGTAACTGTCAAAGCTTCCTCATTACTGATTTTCTGGAGCTCAGCTATACAACCACAGTTACTACACTGTCAACATACCCTCAACAGGTAAATGATTTCTTTCGTAAAATGTCTATAAATTACTTTCAAAATTGTAACAATCATCTCCCAACAATCATGTATTTTTCTCTTTTTAATATACAGAACATGTGAGCAGCTCTGTTCAGTTAAGGATACTCATCTTCTCTTCTCCACAAAGTAACACAGATATGGAATTTATGATCCATATTGTTTGATTTTTTTTTATTATGAATTTATGCCTAAACATATCCAGTCACAAAAAACATTAAAGATACCATGACTTTATATCACTTTTTCCTTTTAACATGGTAAAGGGCTCATGCTGTCAATTTTTGCTAATTTTGGCCTTCATGAACATAATTGTTTTTACATAATCAAATAGAAGAAACACAATGTAATTCTAAACTCAATTGTTTATTTCAGATGCTGTCCCGTACCATAACCTCATCATCTGCAGACAGAAACTGCCACTCAGAATACACACATCATGAAGGACGTAAAGACATTATAGGGGATTATGAAGATATTTCACTGAAACTTGGTCTTCATTACATCTATATTGTGTTCAATGTCAATAGTTATTTATTAATGTATTCAGCTGTTATTAGAGCACTGTCATTTTTGCTACAATCTGCCATGTCAATAAAAAATAAAAGTACATGAACAAGAACATGCTGTATTTTTCAAATGTAAAACCCAAATAGAGGCAACAAGATATAAGACCAGGCAGATAAAGGGCTAAAAAAACAATATTAATAAATAATTTATAAAATATATTAATAATATGAAGAAAATATAGGCCTACTAATAGTAATGTAAATAAATATTTATGAAAATGTTATTTATAACACCATTCAGGTTCTATATAGCACTTGAACCTTTTAAAAAGGGTTATATTTAACACCAAAAGGGTTCTGCTATTGTTACAAGCTGAAAAACCCTAATTTGGTACTGTTTAACCATTTTTCTTAAGAGTTAGAATGATGAACTTTAGGTTTGTGTTCTTTCAGAGCACAACATTTAGCCTCTTCTTTCAGTGATTCAGTTGGGTCATGTGTGGTTCATCAAATACATTGTGGGTATAATGTGTGATAATGCAAATATTTTGAGAGTTTATGTATGTGTACTCTAAGAAAATCTCTAAAGGAACTTTGGAGCATTGCCATTACAAATAGTGATCTGATGATCTTTCACCACTCACTAGACCAGATTACATTACAGTTGCCTCCACCAGAAACAGCATTGAGGCTTGCTAGGAGAAAAAAAAGGAAAAAAGGAAAACTGCACACCATGGCAATGCATAGAATGTGTGGTGTTTATTTAAGAGAAAGGGAATAAGATGGGTCCATATAACTGGGATTAAAGCTATTAAAAACTAAGAATATTTTTGTCAGCGTTAAAATATTGAAATATCAAGAGTCTCCATTTTATTTCCATTTATAGTCTCCTTTATGAAGGAAAACATACAGATTCAGAATCCTGAATCTTCTGTAATTACAAAATGACGGGTAATTATTTTAAAGGGTTATTTTTTTCTTTTCAAGAAATGAAAATTCTGTCATGAATTACTCACCTTCATGTTCTAAACCTGTAAGACTTTTGTTCATCTTCGGAACACAAATGAAGATTTTTTTTTAATGAAATCTGAGAGCTTCCTGTCCCTCCATTGACAGCCAACTACTTTTAAACCCCATAAAGGCAGTATACAATACAGTATAAAAGACTGTAATCCATGTGACTCCAGTGGTTAAACCTCAATTTTATAAAGTGAAGTGAGTGCTCTGTTTGTGCAAAAAAAAAAAAAAAAACAACTTAATTTACCAGTTTATTTACAAAATATTAATTTCCAACGCATGTTCACGCAACAACGTCTGCTCTCAAGTCAACACAACACACGCGTTGTGGTTTTCGTGAATGCGTTGGAGATGAATATTTTGTAAATAAAGTGGTAAATTGTGTTTTTTTTTGCGCAAACAAAGCACTCTTATCAAGTCAATAAAGCTGAGAACCACTGATTTAGAAAAATGCTTTTTTGGTGGTGCCCCCCTTTGAAAGTGGAAAGCCACTGCATTCACGCCACATTTATGAGAGTGGCACACATTATGCTTGTATTTTGGCTTTGAGAACAAGAGCTCATCCACAGCATGAGCTTAAAATGTCTAGCCAATAAACACCTGACCATCCTACGATTTTCTGGCCACGAAAACCATTCACTTCCTGAAATATATAAATAAAAAATCTCAGATGCACACTCTGTTATAGACATTATCATTTAATATGGAAACGTGCTGGATTGTATTATTTCTTTCTGTAAAAACAATGATTTCGAACCTACAGATGTGTGTACTTAAAGCCCTATTAACTGAACTTTTATGTTTCAATAAAGTGTTGAGTGATGTCTGTTACACATTGAGTGGCTAAGGCACACACTGTAAATCTCAAAATCTGTATGACCCTTTGATGATTGACACGTTTAGTGGGTGTATGCGAGTTGTCATGGAAACACTATGTTGTGATATCAAACTTCACGGCAAAATGGTGTGCAGAAAGTGAACGGCAGTAGCTTTCATAGTGTGACATTTACTGTGCACAACATGCCAAACAAACTGAACACTTGCACTACAGCATTTCAACGATCAGATGGGACGTGACATGTGTTTACCACATTGCTGTTTTACTGTTTTACTCTCATTTTCAGCACCTCTTTATCACCCATAAAAAGAGCAGTTATTATTTATACATGCAACAAATACATTTTATCCACACATACAAATTGAAAACAGGAATTCTTTTGTTTTTCTAACAACTTTGCATCCTCCATTTGGAATATTTTATCATCTTTACTCTCGTTGCATGAATCAATGTATGCGAGGAATTGGTCAGCAGATGGAGGATTGCTGGGCTGCTGCAATCCAAAAATATCATATAACCTACTGTTCTTTCTCTTCCTATTCTCATTTACTTAGCTGCCTTTCTATGTAAACTAACGTTTCTTCATTTTCAGCTCATTTAGTGCTGTGAAAGCAGAGAAACCCATAGCCAACAGGAAACAGATGTGCACCTCAGAACAAAAGGTCTGTGGCTGTGGGTTTCGGCATGTGTCTTTGCGTGTTTGATGTAGGCTACAGTATGATGAAAAGAATCAACTCTTATTCCACCAACCTATGAATATGAAGTGTGTACTGTGTTTTTGAAACCTGCATGTATGTGTGACCATTAGAAAATGTAACAATGACCACTGGTTAATGAACACAAACAGTGGGAAAATCAGAGAGATGTGGGGGAGCCCTGGGGCGTCAAACTAATGGCATCAAACAGCACTCACTTCATATTTCAGCTTTTGTTTTAACTGTTGTCATAGAGACGATTGCTGCTAGAATAGCTTATTTTCTTTCCTTTTTTTTCTGGTGATGAGGTCACCGTTGGAAATGAATAAAACAGATTGAGAAACATTGATAAGTGAAAGGACACACAGTTCTGTTTAACCACTCTTTCCCTGTCAACCCTATACCTCAGCTGCATGTGGAGGATATTGCTTATTATTTATCTGCTATATTGACTGAATTGAAGTAAACCTGTAAACTGATAATTGCAGCAATATTTAGTATACATCTACATATTTATATCACTTTACATGAGTATACAGTGATTTACTATCCAAATCCTACTTGATATAGCTATAGGCGATAATGCTATATATTTTACAAGAGTGTACTGTATGTGGGTGGGTAAAGTTATTAATTTATGTGGTGATATTGAAGATTATGAAACCTGTAAGGTTTGTTCAATAAAATTTGTGTTCAATAAACACATTTATCACATACAATCACACTGTTGTTTTCCAAAAGGAAAATGACAAATTATTGCTTAATTGCCCAGACAATAAGTCATCTTACAAAATAGTAATACAAAACTTCATTTAGATCTCTACACTGAACAGAATTTTGAATTTAAAAAGAAAATGTGGTGAAAAAACTAAAAAAGAAAAACTAGCATGGGTGGAGCTTTGGGCATAAAATGCCTTAATCTCAATATCACATACATGACAATGCTAAATTCCCTTCAGTGCACACTATAATTCATGAGAAGTCATAAGGCAAGTCATAATAAGGCCTTTGTTTGACTATGATGATCAGCAGAGTCTGTAAATCTGTTCCAATGACAATGATTAGACCACATAATAAATCAACCAAGGTGAATTGTGAAAACTGAGCTCTTTATCTCTGGTGAATAATTGCGTGCAGTGTACTGCTGGCTCCAGCCAAAAGGTTTCTGCCAGTAATGCTGCTGCTGCTGTCACTGAGTCCTGTCACAAGTTCTGCTGCATGCCTCTCTTCACCAGAGGAACTCTGACTGTCAGTGCTACAGTGTTATAGGATCCTGATGCCATGGTTACACTGGGTACACACTACTACAAAAACAGCCACCTGGCTTTCAGAAGGACACTGTCTGAGAACAAAAATGTGCAATTGGCTTTTTTCAGAGAGAAATTTTAAAACATAATTTAACGGCTTATAAAAAATATAATCAACCTAATCTTTAAAAGCAGAATGAGCAGCCCTTTTTATAGTAGTTTGACATTAAATGGATGTTGGAGCAGAACATGATACTGAGCTTCAAGCAGGAGAGGAACGAGAGTCTACATGATTTTATACAGCTGGTCCGGGAACAGGATCCATCTTTTTGCCGGTGCTATTTTCTAAACCAAAATAACAATAGTCCCATTCTCAAGGCAAGGAAATCACAAGCGTAGCTGCCTATGATATCATACTTCAGCTGTTGGTTAACCACACTCTTATTCAGTGGATGTCATGACTCTGACAAATTCAATTACATGTCTCTAGGCTCAATTTGAAGTATAAAAATATTTTTCTCCAATTCCATGTGTGACCTTTAGCTTACCTATATTGTGGCCTTGACAACAGGCTGTCTGACAACTTTCTGACCTGGCAGAGAACAGTATAGTGTTCTCAACAGATAAGCCTATGAAAATGTAGTATTAAAATATACCAGGAGCTACAGCAGGTGTTTGGACATGATCGTGTGCAGGTCTTGTTGAGGTCTATGCTACATATACAGAATGCTCTTTCTCCCTACAGTTTTACACAATTACAATGTCAGAAATAATTCTCAGTTTTAAAGCAGTGTAGTTTGCTGTTAATTCTGGATATTTAGATCTTTTTGGATCCTTTCTCAACAAAGTCTGCATGTATTTGTGTTACCCGATGTTGCTATGTCACTAGAAAAAAGATTCTATATCAAACCTTAAAGGGATTAATCAGGGCTTCATACAGAACCTTTTGGAATCTGTTTATGGATTTAATTTTAATTCATTCATTTTGTTTAACAATTTTTTAATTCTTAATTTGAATGACATTTTATCAACTAAACAGCTCGTAAACATACTTTATCCCTTGAAAAATGTAAATAACCTGTATGAAAGTATTATGCAATAATTTAAGCCTTCTTTTTTTTGCATAAATGGGAGTAGGAAAAAAGATCATGTGACTAACATTGTGGCTATGGGTTCATTCTGAATGTATGGACATCTACACTGAACTGTAGAACCATAAAAAAAGAAATACGCTCTTGAAAAAATGTCTATTACCGATACAGGACACATAAAAACAGGGCAACAACCATGCAAGGCTACATGTGCAGTTTTTATTGAGTAGAAGAAATTGAGGTCAAAAAAGTAAAAGGTACAGGAATAACAATGATAACGTTCAGAATATCATACCATCGTACTAATTCTGCAGTATATATACTGCACATAATGTGCAAATTTTCCACATGCCTGGAATATCCAGATGATCTGCTAAATGTGCAAAACAGGGCAAAGTGTGTGGAATCCACTGTGGGATACAGCTACCCACTTGACTTCTTGACCTTCCAGAAAACAGTACCAAATGTAATTTTTAACATCTATTTGATCATACTTCTATTTCACATATTTAAATTGAATGTAGTAAACTAGAATTCTTTTCCAAGCAAACATAGCTTGAGTTTGAGATTCATTACCTTTTTTTTTTAATTGTCTTCATTAAAGAATGAGTGTGACTAGATTTAAACCCTTTTATTAATCCTAATATTGCAGGAGTCTTCAGGATATATCATCAGGAGGCTTCGGGTGTCCTGAGTTCAGGTTCCATCTCGTGGACCTTTCCTGATCCCCCCTTTCTCTCCCCCACTATTCTATACTATTCTACACTACACTATTCTATCTGATCGAAATAAAAGGTAAAAACTGCAAAAAAAAAAATGTTTTGAGTCAAATTTATGAAAATTCGTCACTTGTTCTTTAAATTTGATATAATAATGTAAAAATGTGTAAATAAATGAAAATAACAGATGATATTAAAACCATTGATAAATAACCATTGATAATTAAACAAAAAGTGTATAGGAAAACAGTTAAAGAGAAACGGATTTTATTTGTTTTAAATTAAGCAACAAAAAAAAGATATTGCTTCCCCATCATGCCATCATTCAGCCACTCCCTCTACCCAAAACATTATGTACCAAGAATGTTTCCATTCACAGTTTGAACATTAATGTGTAAGTGGGTTGTTTGAGCAGCATTCGAGATGGGAGTGGATTACACTCATACGGCCCGACATCATGTGGCACTGTTTTTATATAAGATGTTCATTTAGAAAGTTACTAAAGCACTTGAGTAAGTACTAATGGTGTGATAACAGAAAACATTAATAACATTAAATTCAAATCCCACTAGAAGCACACTCTATAGTACATAACTCAAGTTCACTCAAATACAACTGGATCGGATTCAAACAACCAGACATATAAAAAGCTTATAAAAACAACAAAAAGGAAATGCAACAATTAATAATAACAACAATAATTTAAAAATAAGGTAACTTAATGTGCAACAATGTACACATGGACAACCCCCCCCCCCCCCCCTAAAAATCAGTGGTCACATGTGCATCATAGAAAACTAAACAAACTTTGGCATTTAACATATATAAATAAATAGTTAAAAATGGCAGCACTGCATGAAGTATTTAAAAAAAAATATTTGTGCAATGCTGCAGCAAAGTCATAGTGAAATATAATAAAAGGCTAAATAAATGTATATAGTGTATTGGTTTCCTCACAAGATTCATTAATATGTGAAGAGCCCAAGTCCAATGCTTCAATCCATAATCAACTTTTACCACAATTTCATGAATAAATAAGAGATTTTGATCATATTGCTATATTATTCAATATGAGGTGTTTAGAATGATCAAATTCCACTGACCAATGAATGACAACCAGCATTAGATGTTTAGTCCAGCAAAAGGTCAGACAACAAAATCCACATTGCTGACATTCAGTGGTGTTTGCATAGGTTGCATCAGGTTCTGAGTGCTACATCAGTTTTCATGTGATTGTACCAAACAAGCCAGTTTTTTTAATAGAAAAACAAGACCGACCAAGTGCTGATGAGTCCTGACTAGTAGTGATGCGTCTCTGTAATGTAGTAATCTCTACACCATCGGGGTTCCTAATCTGGAGCTGGGCTTTGTGTCCTCCATATTTCTCTTTTTACCTGTCTGTTTGCGTTTCGCCACACGGGGACTTTCCTCTGTGATAATGCCCTCTTGGGACATGGCAGGCTCCACGGTTTCTCGACTCGTGAACACAGAAGGGTTATAGGACACCATCTCAAACCTCTGCTCAGCAGCTTTACGAATGGCCGCTTTCCTCTTGGTCCTGGGCTGAGGGGAGGGTAAAGCTTGTCCTGCTGCTGAGGAAGGCAAAGCACACTGGAGAGAAGAGGAATAGCTAGTGGCAGAAACAGCAGCAGTGGTAGTAGCGCAGGTGGGGTTCGGAGCTCCGGCCAGGGCTGCGCTGCCAAGCCGTGCCATTGCTACAGGGATCTCCTCCAGAGATTCTGCGGAGTCAGAATGATACTCAGCAGGGGGGCCAGCGGCTTGTACGGGTGCAAGAGGGGGGAGGGAGGCCCGCAGGGGAAATGCTGGGAAGGGTAAGCGTTGACCAAGAGAAGAGGACACGGTGGCGGCAGCTACAGAGGACTCTATTTGTGTAAAGCACAGACACAGATCAAAAAGGTAACTACTCACACACTGTTTCGCCAATATTAAGACCACTTTGCTACACTAAGGGTGGGTTTCACCAATAAGGATTTAAATTAAGCAAAGTTTACAGCTAATCAAGGATTTGTTGATCTGGGTTTTATTTTAAATCGAGTTGAGTTGCACCACTTCATTTTAAACTTTAGAATTCTAACCAGTGATTAAAACCTTCATTTACGATTCATTTTCTCCGCCATGATGGATTCACCATTGTAATTAAACAGAAACAATGTTAGTATTCTATTTCTTTCTTTACTGACCACCAGAAACTCTCTCTCTGACATAAGTAGCTCTTGCTGATAAAGGAAATAAACTTTATAAACCTCTACATAGAGAGACCGTTAATGATCAAGCAAGCAATGAAAACATTGTGGCAGCGCGGGCAGAAATGCATAAGCCTAGAAATATATTTACAATATCAATTAAATGGAGTAATATGGCAGCATAACGTATGACAAAACAAACGAGATAAGAAAAAAAAAAAAAAACTGGCATGATTGTCCAGTTGAGCACTGCCCAGCAGCCACGCGTGGAGAGGGCATGAGAAACGAAAGGTGCAGAAAATCAGATGGCGCTCACACCTCATCATCGCCACTGCTGTTAAATGCTAAACATATTCCTCTCTTCTTTTCTTTATCCGACACCGAAGTGCACAGAGATGAGCGACGGAGTCACATCCCGAACTCGATAGCAGGTGTAAGTTTATGGCCCGTCACAACCCTCTGCCGGCTCAATGTGCTTTATTTTTCATTTTAATTTGTAATAAACTCCTCTCTGAGACCTGACGACACACCTACTTTTTCTGTCTTTGTTCAATCAGCCACATATTTTAATTCGGGTGCACTTTATTTAAACCTCCTCCCCTGTCAAATTAAAGTTAATCCCTAATTAAGATTTAAAACGGAGTTTAAAATTATGGAGCAACAGGATTAAAGTTTATATTTATAATTGTTTATAATATTTATAAATGTAAACCTGCTTATTTTTAAACAAGGTTTAAAGTTTGGAACCTTAATTTAATCTAGATTTAAGATTAATCCTTATTGGTGCAGCACCCCACCCCAAGCGGCTACACTTGTGTGAATAAAAACATGTTATTTATGGAAGCCCAATTCCACCACATAAGAAATAAAAACAGGCTATGGTAAATCATAATTATGAAATAAAAATAACTTATGAGATAAAAAAGTAATTATTATGATAAACCATGATGATTAAATTATTTACAATGACATGAGTTGAAATCAATGATATGAATGATCATAATTTGACTCTTTGTGAACTTTTCATGTGATAATTAGTCATAATGGTTACATTTTCAAATAATGACCACCTTGGCTGTCATAATTTTGACTTTGTTGTTGTTTTTATGTAATTTATGCCAATTATGTTTGCTTTTTTGTTTTGTTTTTTTACTTATTGGCTCGGTTTCACAGGCAGAGTTTAGATTAAGCCAGGATTAGACCTTAGTTCAATTAGGACATTTAAGTAGCTTTTATAAACCTGCCTTAGAAAAAAAACAGTACTGGTGTGCATCTTGAGACAAAAACAATGGCACTGACATATTTTAAGATATGACATTGCAAGTTTCTTTCAGCTAAAACAGCTCAAACATGCATTTTAATCTGGGACTAGGCTGTTTATGTCATAATTATGATTTCTTTTTTTCTTATGTGGCAGAACTAGGCTTCAATAAACACTAGAGCAAAAGGTTCCCAGGCCGTTTAAGACCACATAACAATTCAAACACTAAATGCAACTGAACAATGCACTGGAAGCTAAAATAAAGTTATACATCAGGTAAAGAGAACTGCTCTATTAGCAGGTTTCAACTTTCATTTTATTGTTTTATCTTCTTTGTACAAAACTCCAGTCTAAAGCAAACAGGGTGTTGTTCAGTGATGCAGATCTACCTCGCTATTTAATATTATAACATAGCAACGTTTGCCATAACATACTAATCTCCTAAACCAGTGACACACTGTTAGGACACACTGTCAATGCTGCTAATGTTGCAGCACTGTACATTTTACCCAGTGGTGGACAGTAACGAAGTAAATGTAATTCGTTACTGTACTTGAGTAGCTTTTTTGCGTATCTGTACTTTACTCAAGTATTTAAATTTGGGGAGACTTTTACTTTAACTCCACTACATTTCAAAGTCAAATATCATACTTTTTACTCTACTACATTTTCAAAATCAGTCGTTCCTTTTTATTTATGAGTGGATAAAAACGTAACTGGTCAAACAAGCCACCAATCACAGTACAGCGCGCACGCTTTGTTTTGAACTTGCCTTGGTGGTATCTACTAAGCGCGAACCAGAACCATACCGTTAAATATGAGAGTTGCGAACATAGATGGTTGTGACAGTGATCTCGCCGCCGCGCGGTCACGTTATTCGTGTAGCTCTCAATAGTTCCAAACAAATCGCGTTGACAATGATTTTAAGCGGGACAGAGAGCAGCAGCTATTATTGAAGCAATTATCGGTAAGTATTGACACACAATGTACTTTGCTTACGTTGCCACTAAAATGACTTGCATATAATAGCTTTTTTTTTCTGGGGAGTAGCCTAGCAGAAACACTGCATTAATACGTTTTTGTGTTTAATTTTGGAGGGAAATTGGCTGCTCCCATAACATAGAATATATATATATATATATATATATATATATATATATATATATATATATATATATATATATATATATATATATATATATATATGTTTAATGGCGTTGTGCAGGTTTATGTGAATGTATCATAACATTAAGATGTTAATAATTATGACCATAGGCGCTGGAGAAAAATATAAACAGCAAATACTGTAAATGTTTTATACCTTATGGGAATTGTCCCCTTCCCTCCAAAATTAAACACACAAAAAATGCATTCAATTCAAATATATATACATACAGTATATATACATATATATATAAATATATATATATATATCAGACTAATTAATATCATTTCATTAATAGATTGGTGTGCCAAGAGTGACATTAGTCTTCACTTAGACTGAGTTAAGCAAGAGTCTTGTGACAAATTATAATAGGACATTATAGCCATAAAAAAATGAAAGTACTTGAGTACATTTGAAGGCAAATACTTTTGTACTTTTACTCAAGTGAATGTTTAAAGGCAGCAATTCTACTTTTACTTGAGTAATATTTTACCTTGAGTATCTTTACTTTTACTCAAGTACATGGTATGTGTACTTCATCCACCACTGATTTTACCTGTATTTGTGAATATAAGCATGTTACTATAAAATGTTAATATATAATTATTACTATAAAATGCTAAAATCACAAATACAGGTAAAATGTACAGTGCTGCAACATTAGCAGCATTGACTAATCCTAAAAGTGTGTCACTGGTTTAGGAGATTAGTATGTTATGGCAAACATTGCTATGTTATACTATTAAATAGATATTATTAAATAATAATTAAATATTAAATAAAACATATGCTTTAGTTATTGCAAAATAAATACATTATTGCATAATATTAATGTTTTAGCTATATCCATCCAGGCTGAACTTTCCCATACCTTCACGACTTACTTTGACTATTTTTTACTCTCATCTCTATTCTGGCCTGTACTCCTCTGATCTTGGCATCGCATATTGCAGCACTTCTCATGTCCTAGGATGAATCACTTTGTTGTATTCCTTATTTGGAGATAACTGTTTGCTAAATTATTAAAAGTACACTATTGTTGAAAAGTTTAGGATGAGTAAGATTTAAAAGTTGAAAGACAATTTTAAAGAAATTAATACTTTTATTCAGCAAGGATGGACTTTCAAAACAATGAGATATTATATTCACCAGCTGATTTGTGAATGTTTGTCTTACCCTGCTCAGCAGGAGTCTTTGGCATGCCTCTGTTGGTGCTGGTGTCAATGGATCTGTCACTGTTTACCTCAGCTGCAAGTTCACGCACTTTCCTCTTTTTTTTCTAAGAAAATAAATGAAACCGTTTTAGTACATATTGAGGCAGAAAGAGGTTACAACATCAGTAGAGTGTACAGGCCATTGGTTGTGTAATTAGACCCTGAAATTAATATAAAATCAATTTTGTGTGTCTGGTGGTTGTGAGGTGTCCTACCCATAGGTTAAATTGGGGCGGAGCGCACCGGAGCGCAGCTCCGCCTCCTCGGGTCCACAACACACCCTGCCGGAGCTCAGCTCCGTGTCCTTCAGCACCATATATACAATTTGTTGAGTGTATATAATGAAAGTTATGAAATAATTGGCTAATATTAACTCGAATTTGGTGCTGCAATGATTCGCCCATCGCAACGATAACTGACCTTCTCGTCTGAGCTGCTTCAGCACTCACCCGCTCGTCAATGTCAAAATGTTTGAGTCCAATCAAAGCAAGTGGGATTTATGTTCACAGAAGCGCAAGCCTAGCGCGAATCCCAACGCGACGCTTCACAACGGGCATACCGTGCGAGATAAGATGCAAGTAGCTAATCTAAACAGCTGTTTGTCGATATAACTTTTAAATGATCGACAGAAATACTCAGTTTGATCAAAGACAGTGGATACTATAAGCTCAATTTAACAACACAAGCACCCTATTAAATATATTGCCATTATTATTGTAATATATTGTATAACGTTACCTCGAATGTGTTCGACTTTTCACTGTTTGTATCACTCCGCTTGTTCGTGTTTGAGCAACTTGCATCATTAAGCCAGAAGGCGGCGACAAGTGACTGTCTTTATGAGTGAACAATTGAACCATTGATTAAATGAACAGATTAGCTAGTCCAAAAATATTGATTAATTTAGGAAAGGAAAAGTAGCTGAAACTGATCTTTGATGCTCATACTAATTGCTCATATGCCTCTGGGCACAGAATGATTGCATTGGCGTTTGTTTGAAATGTAACATCTACAAAATAATCCTTGAATCATTTCTTATTTAAGGACATTCCCGTTTCGAATATGTGATTGTGTATTGTCAACAATATGCATAAACATTCTGCATTTCCATTTTATAGTGTGGATCACTCATTGCAACATTTAAACTCATGTTAAAGAATTCTAATTCTCATGTTAAAGAATCTGTTATCTGATCAAATAGGTCTACTTCATGCTGACCACTGACATGCTTTTAAAGCTACTGTTGTCCTTTTTTTTTTTTTGGCCTTCAAAACACCTTAAAATGGACATGTTGAGATCAGGAAAACCAAAATTTTCTTGGGGGGGCATGCCCCCAAACCCCCCTAGCAAGATCATATTTTGGAACTTTTATTTATAAAAATCCCCGTACGGCCCTGCGTGTCGGTGTGATTAAATCAAACAACAAACTGCCAAAGAAATTGGCCCTGATTCTTTTAAATCAACATTTTTTCTTGTTTTAAAAGATATTTGCCAATCAATATTTTCAAACATGTTCAATTTCATACATTTCACGAGGGTGAAGTCCGTTGCTGTCTGTTAACATTAAAGGTAAAAAAAAAGTGAATTGTAAAGTATTTCTCTTTGTTTAATATGTACTCAACCCTACACATTAATAGTGGAAAAAGAGCCTCTTTGGTGTAAAAACACATTAAGTCATTTTACGGCGCGATTTTGAATGATGACCATTAACCGTAAAGGGCTCCCCCTCCCTATAAAAGCCAATTTAACCACTGGTCCTACCTGTATGTGTTTGTGCGAGTGAGATGATGCTTCGTGCTCGGTTAAGACAGCAGGGAGGAGCCCTTCTTCACCCATATGGTCAGACGAGCCTCTGACCCGGCCGTTGCCGTAACGCCTGCAGAGAGACACGCATTACTCAAATGTATTGTACACAAACAACATTTTTTACAGTGACTTTTATTACTTCAAATGTTATAACACAGACAATAGCTACTTTTCCACTGTCGGGCCAAAATGGTCTCTTTGCTTAAAGCTAATTTATTTCAGTAATTCAACTTAAAAGGTGAAACTAATATATTATATAGACTCATTACATGCAAAGTGAGATATTTCAAGCCTTTATTTGTTATAATTTTGATGATTATGAAAACCTTTTCACAATATTCTAATTTTGAATTTGGGGTTTTCATAAGCTGTAAGCCATAATCATCAAAATTATAACAAATAAAGGCTTGAAATATCTCACTTTGCATGTAATGAGTCTATATAATATATCAGTTAAACCTTTTAAGTTGAATTACTGAAATAAATTAACTTTTGCACAATATTGTAATTTTTCGAGTTTCACCTGTATAGTTTCCATATGAGTAAAGTGTTATGTAGGCTATATGTTGTTGAACTAATTATTAATTGAACCATCTTTTAAATCATTAACTGATTCGAAATGCATGCTGTTAACTAAATCGTTGTTGAAACATTTGCCGTTAGCCTACTGTACGAATAGGTTCGATTTCAGGTTACAAGGCATAAATCTTTATTCCGATTTCAGAATGTGGACTTTGACATGTAATACACATGCTAAAGTGTCTCATCCACCTGCCGAGCTGATGTTCACTATTGTAATGAATATGAACGTAACTTTAAGAAGCAGGGGAAATTCCCAACCATTTACATGCTTAGGACGTGTCTCGTTGGGCAATGTTTTTTCAGTAAAATCATTATTTCCTAGTTATTTAATAGAAAGTGTGAGCTTACTAGGGAATACCAATATAGCGGCGCAGTGGCTCCCCTTTTTATGACATCATGAGCAATCCAGTTCTCTATATAGATCAGTGAATGTAATACAAAAGCGTCAGTCTTGGTAGTGTTGGTAGTGTTTTCTGAAGATATGAGATGTAAATAGCGTCTGCGTTACGGAGGATGATCAGATATTTCATAATTTTTTTTTATTAATTTGTGTTTACTTTGCTAAAATAGCGCTTAACCAGCTACAGAGAAACTGGTAGCCAGGCAACAGACAAGTGATCAAGTGGAAAAGGCTAGTGGAAAAGTGAGTGGAAAAGGCTAACTTTTGGGGGGGGGGGGGGTGGCTTCCACTGTGTACAGTACCTGGAACTTTTTTTTAGTACCACCTTGATTAAGGATCCAAGCGAGCCGTACCAATACTAAAATGTGACGTGTAAACGCTGCAGATCACTGACTGGTCAGAGAGAATCGTCACTATCAGCATCATTGGATTTGCAACACGAGACACCAAACCCACTAGATTTAAATAGTCAGCAACAGCCACTGCAGTATCATTTGTCCACACAACTTTTTTAAACGACTTGCTTTAAACGACTGTCACTCGCAACTTGAAAAAAGAAATGGCTTTATCGTGGTCAGTAGATGAGGTAGCGGCGCAACTATAACGATCAGTCTATAATCCAACCCCCTTTGAAGCAGTACTAAACTGCAGTGGAAAAGCAAACCGAGACAAAGTTAAGCGAGCCGAGTCGTGTCGAGTAGTACCATGCAGTGGAAAAGCGCCTTTACAAGCATTCTAGCAGCACGGTTCAGCGCGGTTAGCCAATCGTGCTGAGAATTCCAGGCCGAGAACGGTTTGTAATCGTATCGTGCCGTGTCGTACCAGGCTCAAGTGGAAACACAACTGGAACCGTTCCTTAACATTCTTAGAATCGTTTGGCCCAACGGTGAAAAAGCGGCTTATGTCTTCAAAAGACAACACTTCCACTGTTCCCTATGATAATTTTTTATGATTGTTAAAAGTGGAAAGAGCCAAGAGCCAAATGACAAAATGCAGTGACAAACCATTTCCAAATGCTATGGAATCACTGATCACTCAGCATGACTGTCGGTCTGTAAGATCATAGTACTGCTTTGCCACTGTTGGCTGACGTCCACATGCAATCACATTAATTCACCTTGCTTTAGCTCTACATAGGCAGAATACATAGGGGGTTGGGGGGCAATGATAAAAATATCATTAAAAACCATGCTGTGGATTGTAAATAATATAATAATATATACTTAAAAAATAATTGTGTAAGTAGTAAAACAATACAAATGCAAACAGGGCAAAACGTTTTAAGTTTAGAAACATTTTGAGGACCCCCTACCTTGCCTCACAGTGCTATGGTTCACTCCCTGCTTTCCCCCTAAACAGTGTTGCCAAGTCTGCGGTTTTCTCGCGGAATTGGGCTGCGTTTACAATGTTTCAAGTCCACGGGTTGAAGCGACACCAAAACGCCAATATTATTATTTATTATATTTTATTATATTATTTACCCCCCTGAATACAATTTTTACCAGGGAAACCCTACCAAAAAAAAAAATTCCCCCCAGAAAGCGATTGGGATAGTTTTGCATAGCAATTGGGCAGGTTTTGTGAAAATCTGACAACCCTGCCCCTTTACCACACCTATACACACAAGTCCGGTGGTAGAGAACAAAGTTCTTCAGTAGTCCTCCAGTAAATAGGCTGTCATGGCTATTTTATTCACTTTAAACATAGGATGAAGTGATTTTTCTCTTTATTAGTAATGAAATAAAAATTATGATAATTTTTATCATAAAAATTTTATGATAAAAATTCGCCATCAATGGGGTGGTGATGGCGAAGTGGATAAGACACATGCCTTTGGTGTGAGAGACCTGGGTTCGAATCCACTGTGAGACACCAATGTGTCCCTGAGCAAGACACTTAACCCCTAGTTGCTCCAGAGGCGTGCGACCTCTGACATATATAGCAATTGTAAGTCGCTTTGGATAAAAGCGTCAGCTAAATGAATAAATGTAAAATGTAAATGTAAATGATAACCAATGAGTCTGCTATGTTAGGGATTATAACGGCGATAAGACGTGTGAATGTGTGAACTGATATTAGGCTAATATTGTAGATATTTGTGTTGGGATTTGCTCATGATGTTAAGTGGCAGATTAGTGGGCTTGCTGCAGTTGAATATCTAAGTAAGAGACGTCCTCTGTTCCAGACGAAACCTAAAATACTATGTGGAGGACGCAAGATAATTTAATAATTACAAGCAAGGCTTTCCTCTGTGTACGCATCAGGGATGGAAATTAGCACCAGCTACCAGCCAAATGCGGGTGATTTTGTGTTGTGGCGGGTAAACTCGCTTCACCTACCGGCCACCGTGGCGGGTAAATAAAAATAGCATACTGTTTCACCCGGACGGCGGACACTTTTAGAGGAGGCACACCTTCAAACAAAAATGTGGCGTTACATCGCAGGCGTAGAGGTCTGCAGAGAAAACATCATGGTGCGTTCACACCAGACGAGAATAGAGCGTCTGGCGCGAGTGATTTCATTGTTAAGTCAATGCAAAGACGCGTTACGCGCGTAAAAAATTCCTGCGGCGCGAATGAGGTGTAGAGCGCGCCGTGGTAGATGCGAATACGCCTCATTCGCGCGGCAAGTTCGAGCGTTTGACGCGTTCCGCGCGCATGATTTTATTGAGTGCTTTTGTGCATTCACGCGTTTGACGCGAATTCGTGTCTGCCGCCCGAGTTGAAAAATCTGAACTTTGGCGTCAATTCGCGCCGCGTTAACCAATCAGGAGCCTAGCTGCTGTCACGTGGTGAAGTATCTGGATGCTTCAATAAATTATTTTGTAATGCCTGATGTGGTTCTAATGCACAACAAAGCAAATATGTTATCACATTAAACTTGATTTCAATATATGAGACATATACATTTTGTATTGAATGCTATTTATTCCATTTCATATCTAGATTATATTAAATATTATTCTAATGTAAAGGCAACCAACATACTATAGCTCATAAATCCGTGTCTGGAGAGTGTTGTGTGAGAGAAAAAAAAAATCACAGGACAGGTTAATTACTTTTGGAGGCTGGCTCAATTTATCATCAAAACAAAAATAAATGACAGATTAGGTGGATGAGGCCGAGGGTGAGAGAAAGGGAAAATGTCAGTATTTCATTGAGACTTGAGATTAAATAAACTGCTTAAGTATTCTTGTAGTATTCATTTTCACATGCAGTTACACATTGTCGGTTAAAAACAAGAAAGTGGCTGGTAAAAACATTGAGTGGCTGGTAGATTTTGAAATCCACCAGCCACAGTGGCCGGTGGACAAAAAAGTTAATTTCCATCCCTAGTACGCATATCCTTACAAGTACAATTTTGGCTGTATTATTTGTGTCCCCTTTAAAACTTGCTCTCGAGAAATTTTATGTTTATCGTCCCCCCCTACTGTTAGATGAAATTTACGCCCATGTAGCTCTATGTCATTGTTCCTGCTACCTGTTCCAGACACTCCAGCTAACAAGAAGGTTTGAGCATTAGAATATTATATATATATATATATATATATATATATATATATATATATATATCTCAAATAACTTCATGGCTCAGGAGCACCATTAAATGTCCAACAGTAATATTTTATAATATTTACAGTTACAGCTTTGAGCTATTTTAGCATTTTTTTTTTACTTTTTTAACAGACTGTTATAGTCTCAATAATTGTTACTGAATAGAAATTGCAATGCATCTGTGAAGCCTTTAACCCTCTGGGTTTGGGGTCCTTGAGATGTTTTGACATGCCCTGACATTTGTGCTTTTTTCAGTTGCTTATAAACATATTAATGGCACAGGTGAAATTACACTCTTTTTAGCACAAACAGGGCTACCATAATATGTGAGCAACATGTATGTACATGTTTGTATTTTTGAGAGAATATTGTTTATGCATGGTTATTGAGAAAACTCAAAATTAAAGTTTCTGAAATAAGGCCACAAAACATACTAAATATGTGTCCACAAGACTTTTGACTAATGGATGTTGTCGCCTAGATTTTTTGTTTCAAAATGATCTGAAAATCATCCTGCCTAATCATTCACATAAA